AGCTCACTTTTAGATGTAGGATTTAATGAATTATACATGCATGTAGTCTGGAAGTGAATGAATGAATAATGCATAGATGAATGAGTAAATGACTGGTCACCATCAATACAGGTTTCAAACTCATTAAAATATTAAAATAAATAATGAATAAGCAAGAAAATACAACTTGATAGCTCACATTCACTTTGAAGCTGAGGCAAGGACGTGAGCTTTGATAGTTGTGGAATTCGAAGGGGAAAAAAGGTGACAGTCACTGGCAGAAATACACATACTTTTGTTGTAACTCAGTAGAAGAATCAGATGACACAACATTCTAAGGTTTTGTTGCTCTCCATCCAGTTTGGTATATTATAGGAATTATTTTACTCAAGAACCAAAATAGCCAGAGGAAGTAGAAATTTGGATTCCACTTGCATGTTATTAAACACCATCCTCAATAAGAAACATGTTATTGTGTAATGGGGATTCACTCAAGTGTGTTTAGCCACTTTTTATTTATGTACAGCATTATATAATTAACAACTCTCAACTAAACAAAATGTAGAGCTATTCAGACTGGCGCTCAAAGATGTGACCATCAGCACAAATTCTTTCTTAAGAGTAACCTTCTTCCCCCTCTCAGCTTCAAAGGCCACAATCATGAAAACACTTATATATTTGCTTCATCTGAGTAATCTCACTGAAGTCAACTCATGTGTCACACTGACTTCAGTGGAAGTTGGATCAAACCCCCAATTAAATAACCCCTAGCCAAAAGCAGAGGACTATTGTAGCACTAGACAGTGAAAACAGGCATATAAAATGCTGGTTCCTACTTTAACAATCTAAAAGACTTTAAGGGCAGAATGGACCATCACGATCATGTAGTCTGACCTCTTGCACATTGCAGGCCACAGAACCTCACCCACTCACTCCTGTAATAGACCCATAACCTCTGGATGAGCTACTGAAGTCCTCAAATCATGGCTTAAAGACTTCAAGCTTCAGAGACTCCACAATTTAAACTAATTTAAACCTATAAGTGACCTGTATCCCATGCTGCAGAGGAAGGCAACCCCCACCCCCACCCCCCAGGGTGTTTGCCAATGTGTCCTGGGGGAAAATTTCTTCCCAACCCCAAATATGGTGATCAGTTAGACCCTGAGCATGTGGACAAGACCCACCAGCCAGATACCTGGGAAAGAATTCTCTGTAGTAACTCAGAGCTCCCCCCACATCTAGTGTCCCACCACTGGCTGTTGGAGATATTTGCTGTTAGCAGTCGCAGATTGGCTAATGCCATTGTCAGCAATTTCATCATACCATCCCCTCCATAAACTTATCAAGCTCAGTCTTGAACTGAAGTTAGTTGAAGTTAGTTTTTTTGCCCCCACTGCTCCCCTTGGAAGGCTGTTCCATAACTTCACTCCTATGATGGTTAGAAATCTTTGCCTAATTTTGAACCTAAACTTGTTGATGGCCAGTTTATATCTATTTGTTCTTCTGTCCACATTGGCACTTAACTTAAATAACTCCTCTCCCTCCCTGGTATTTATACCTCTGATGTATTTATAGAAAGCAATCATATCTCATCTCAGCCTTCCTTTGGTTAGGCTAATCAAGCCAAGCTCTTTGAGTCTCCTCTCATAAGGTAGATTTTCCATTCCTCAGATCATTGCTGAAAATGCATCAAATTATGCGTCTTCAACATACTCTCCTGCTGCTGATTCCCTCTGCAATTTCCTAATCAACTAACTTTCTTTAAATTTAACTGAACAACGTAAATCCAATAAAATAAGCCCTTCACTTGAAAGTGTTAACTTCCAATTTCCATATTCGTTACTGACTCTAGTTGCTACTTGTGCCGTTTCTCTCTCACTTAATTTTTACAAATAAAGGAATTGATCCTAAGATGCATTGACCATCTTTGATGAGGTCTATAATTAATATTAATTACTACTTGCAGTCCAATAGTACCAAGAGGCCCTAGTTAGGGACAGAGGCTCATCGTGCTAAAAGTTGTAAATATTTTGTGCTTGATTTCTGTACGTCCTATAGTCTTCTTGCTTATCTGCAGAACAGCACCAGACTCGTATTGGATCTTTTTTATAATGCCCCTTGCCTGTCTTTTGTCTTGTACAACTGTCACTTCCTCATGCCATGTACATGGGACAGCCTGAAAGCTGAGCAACTAAGACACAACTAGAGAAGAAAGGACATATTCTGTTTGAGTCCAACCTGGAAAACTATATAACAGATTTGCAGGCACCTCTCAGAATCAGGCCTCAAAACTCTTTCCATATCCTCCTAACACATTACCTCCTATCTATAATCCTTGCTCTCACAGCCCTCTTGGAAGTCTGTAAGAAAGACTATAACCCCCTGCTCCTTTCTTCTTCAGGCATCACTTCCACTCACTGAGTTTAGGAGCCTTCTGCAGTACTGAGCAGCTCAGAGCCAACTCTCTCACACAGCATTCAAATTCTCAAAAAAAGCTCAGCAGGATAGTAGGAAGTGGCAGTAGTCAATGGGAAAGTAGTAAGACTTAACATTGTTCCATTTTTACATTTCTCCCTCACCCTCCTGAACTGGTCATACAATTTTGGATGACAACAGTGAGTGAGAAGAGGAAAACCATTTATATTAAAGAAAAAAATATAAAAAATACTAATGGGTAGGAATTTGAATGAGAACCTAGACAATGAATTGCAAAGGGAAAGAATGAAAACTTTATTTATACTCACAAGATAAAGTTTTTTGTTACATTTCTGGTATACTAGTGATAATATGCGATCATTTTCCTTAATAATAATCTACCCTCCTCATTGGGATAAACTAGGTGGCCTTTGGTAGCTAACATGCGGTTCAACTCAAAAGAAGACAGGCAAGGACATTACAAAAGAACTCCGGAGCGAGCCTGGTGCTGTATCTAAATTGAAATAAACTCTCCATCAATGAAATGATAAAAAGGGCTATAGAAGTTACACAAATCAAGCACATTTACTGCCTCAAAATATTAGTGTCACATTAAAGCAGAATTTTCCATAAATAAAACATACTGCATCCAGTATTTCCTATTCTCTTGGGCCTCCTGGTAAAGGATATACAGATTGCAGGAAATGTAATCAAACACACTACACTGTCTATCTTAAATATATGAAAACTAATCTTGATAAGGCAATCATTTAACAGATTATTATTTGAATTATTTATCTATGGTATTCATATGACACCCGTTACTATAGTATCTCAACACCCAACTCATAATGTCTAATGCTTTTATCCTTACAACACCTCTGTGAGGTAAGGAAGTGCTATTACCTGCATTTTACAGAGGCATGGAGAGTTTAAGTAACTTGCCCACTATCACGTGGGAAGTCTCTGGCAGAGCAGGGTGCTGAATCTGGGTTGCCCAAGTTCCAGGCTAGCACCCTAACTGCAGGACCATTCTTTCCTCCTGTCAGTATTGTTATACTTATTGTAGTATTCTACTTTATCTTAAAGTAGAGGCAGGCTCCCATCTTAATCTTCACTGTACAAAACCAAAGTAAAAGTTGGTCCCTGCCCCTCTGGCTTTACACTCTAAACTCCTGAGCCTAGCTTTCAGTGGAGCTGGAGCTATCAGAGCTTGATCCTGCTCCATTAAGTCAGTGGCAAAACTAATGAGTTGAATGGACAGACAGTGGGCACTAAGGGAAATTTTTACACCACTTCTGATAGGTCTATTGTACAAGGTAGCAGCAGCAGCATCTGTGGAAGTCATGCAGTGGGTGTGCACCTCCTGTGTGGTGTGCAACCTGCTTCACAAGGGCTCCTTGTGTGTATGCACACTGAAGAGTGTGGAACACGGGTGATTCAGAGACATGTGGAGCCTCGGGATCTGCTACAGTACAGATACTCTATTCTCTACCTGCGCTGAAGTCACAGAGGGTTAATTTTTCCTGGCACAGGGAGAATTCCTCCCCTTCATGCACCCAGTCCAACCCAGCTGTTCAGGCTGTGTTTCAGCAGGAGGATCTGAGTTTTAATGAGGGAGGATTTTGGTGATCTATGTGAAATGAGGTAATGGCCTACACTCAGTTCCCAGTGAACAGATGTTCCTATCATCATCACCGGCATCCTTGTTTCAGTAGAAAGGTCAAGGATCAAATCAGTCTGGAACCTGAATCATTCTCTCAGCTGTGAAGTGAGCTTTCTAGAGCAGAGTACTTCAGGAACACTGGAGGGGCTGTGAGGGACTTGTATTGTTATACCCTGCTCTGACACAGATGTACTGGAGGGAGCTCTGTGGATCTTGCAGGGAGTCCCTTGTTAAAATTCTGCCACCCTGATTTCCTTGTCTCTGCCTCAGTTCATCCCTATGTTGATACTCTTGAATCATCCCTGTTGGAATAGACTTATCTATGCTGCTCCTAAAGATACTTTCAAAGAGTAAATTATTTTGCCTTTAAAATACAGCAAATGTCAAATATTTTGAAAACATTTTCCTAGAGAAAGAAACTTTCCAGGTTGCTCTATAAGCATTGTTACTGAAAGGGGTAAGCAAACTGATAGATTCCCCAGTTCCTCCAGGCTCGTCTTAGTGAGTACTTGCACCTCTGGAATACTGAGTTTGTCACAGGCAAGATGAGAAATTTTTCTAGAAGCTCATTGTCTGAGGCAGCTTCATCGCTGTGTTCTTGTGATAAACAGGAAACACCAGCATTCAGGCATGGGGACTTGCCACCTTTCACACAAACAAAATGAACTCTAAAATTTACAACTAAAATCACAGGTGATAATCTATTTTAAATGCAACATAATCTTGAAAGTCCAGGAGACAAGCACAAAAGAAAGATGAAATATTTTCCATACTTATGCATATCACAGACTTATAGACTTTAAGGCCAGAAGGGGACCATCATGATCATCTAGTCTGAGCTCCATGCCTCTCTCTGTCTTGGTCTTGAATGTATTCACAGGAAATTATTGTTATTTTGTAATTGTTGAGCATCAATGTACAGAACAACATTTACATTTACCTTGCTCAAATTTTCATCTGTAATCGGTTCGTCATAGATGTGAATTTTATCCTCCAAAGATTTTTTCAGAACATCTATCTTATTTCTATTCTTGGATCGTTGTTTTTTGATCTTGGGCTGTGGCTGTAAAAAGTCATCACATCGTTTAATATTTTTAAAACTTATATGACATTACTATGTGTTAGTATTATTACTATTATTTGTGGGCAATTCCCCAGTTAATAATACAAAACTGAAATCTTGACTTTCATGACAAAATGTTCCTTGGAAATGCATGTTCTACCTATGCCTTTCAGAGGACCCATTCAGTAATTTCAAACCAAGCCACAAAATGTGCCTAACTTTTTTTAACGCAGGTTTACATATTCATCCCTTCCATGAAAAGAAGATGCAATTGCCAAGTTGCAATATAGTAATTTTGTCCTGCTAGCATAGGAGTGACAAATTTGGTTTTACACAAACATTTAGTGAATGCTATATGCAATGACTTGATGAAATTTTCCTCATCCTTTTTGAAAGCCATAAAAAAAGAACGAGATATCATATTCATTTAAAAATTAAATTGTTTTCAAAATGCACTGTATGAATCACAAATGACCCATGATAATATTAAGGAGCACCCTACTACGTAATCTGATTATTCTTGACCTTTGTATTCTTTACAGGAATATAAACTGAGCATAATGTGCTCTCAGGGAAAAGATAACATCTGTTCAACTCTATGGCTCTGCAAAGTCATTTCCCTTTTGAAATACAGAGCATTTTGGAAATCATTAAGATTTTGAACTAGGCTAATTCCTAGTGCAATTAGCCTAAGTTAGTTTACACATTAAGAAAAACACAGTCAATCAAATTGCAGTCAGAGGGGAGACATATCACCCTTTGTTATATTGCTATGACCTACAATTCATAGAAGAGACATGTTTCTTTTTCTATGGAGAAAGTTAAGGTAAAGAATTAATCTGTAGTTTATAACATTCAAGACAATTAAGCATCATCTACACAAAGTTAAATAACCAAATAGAAAATTTGTTACCCAATTAGCTAATACTTTCCTGGCTGGGACTGACCTCTTTACACCAACTGACCTCTTCTGAGATGAGTATTCCCTAGCTTCTGTTACGTACATTAGAAAAAAATGAGAGAGTACATCCTTAGGAGAGTCATGATTCTCCTCTTGGAACGGCAAGTCTAAAAGCAACCCACTACCCACTCTTGAACAGAAAAGGGGACCCTCAAGCTTTTCTGTTTTTAAGTGGATTGGAATGGACTTGGATTTTCCCCCAGACAATATCTAACTGACTCAGCAGTAGAGTCAGACTGAGTCCCAGATGCTGAAGAAGAATGACTCAGCATTGTGGATATGTCTCCAGAGGAGTCTCAGTTTGGGATATGGCGGTCCCAACAAATCTCCAGTTTCAGACTAAGGATCCAATAGGCTGGGAGCAGACAAAACACAGCTCCATTTTTTTGGCTTCAGAAAGGGCCTCCTTAGAGATGGATCACCTCCTGGCTTACTGCTTATTCCCATTATAGGGGATAGGGCCCTGGAACAATTAGTCTACATAGGAAGGGAAGGATGGAGGAAACACATTTTCTCATTGCTGCCTGAAAAGCATCTTTAAATGCCAAAACAACGAGGAGTACTTGTGACACCTTAGAGAATAACACATTTATTTGGGCATAAGCTTTTGTGGGCTAAAACCCACTTCATCAGATACATGGAGTGGAAAATACAGTAGGCAGGTGTATATACACAGTGCATGAAAAGATGGATACTAATGACAAGGCAGCACTGAACTACCACAAATCACATTGTAGGAGGCAGGGAATCTGTTATGCAAGTGGAAGGTGCACTGGACCTCTGAACAAATCTGAGCTGCATCAAGCATTTATAGGAAAGGAGGCTGTTACGCTCCAATGCACCCCGGAATAGAAACCCATAAGAACATAAGAATGGCCATACTGGGTCAGACCAAAGGTCCATCCAGCCCAGTATCCTGTCTACCGACAGCGGCCAATGCCAGGTACCCCAGAGGGAGTGAACCTAACAGGTAATGATCGAGTGATCTCTCTCCTGCCATCCATCTCCACTTTCTGACAAACAGAGGCTAGGGACACCATTCCTTGCCCCAAACCACAAATAAAACAAAGCAAGACATGCAGGTAGGTTGCCAGTCAAAACATGTAATAATCATGAACTAGTTAGGTTAGCAAAAGTCAGAACAAAACATGATAACAGTCTGAACAGCAGATATGTAGCACCAGACCCTGAGTAGATGCACACACCCACTGTTCAGCACACAAACAGAGCCTTAAACAAGAACAGGAACACCGAGTTCAAGGAGTTGGAACCAGGACACAAAACAGGAGCAGAAACAGAGAAGAGGAAGCAGGAAGGGAACACATCAGTCAGCACAATTTCCTTCCTTCTCTCCAAAAGTTGAGTGGTACCTGGCCAGAGGCACCAGGTGATCCTAGGGTCATAGGTTTATACCTCTGATTCAGCTCAAGAGATGGATGCTATTGCTGTGTGCAACTTCCCCAACTGGTCAATGATATCAATGTACGCAGAAAGAGTGACCTCTTCCCTATCTGTTCCCCTTTCAGTAGGCAGTATATTTTCCTATTCCAGAGGACATGCTTCCATGCTGATGATGCTCGTTAAAAAAATTAGGCGTTAATTACATTTGTGACTGAACTCTTTGGGGGAGAACTGTACATTTCCTGCACTGTGTTTTACCTGCATTCTGCCATATATTTCATGTCACAGCAGTCTCAGAGATGACCCAGCACATGTTCGTTTTAAGAACACCTTCACAGGTGTGACAAAACACAAAGAAGGTGCCAATGTTAGATTTCTAATAATAGGTACAGCCCTCAACCTAAGATTTAAGAATCTGAAGTGCCTTCCAAAATCTGAGAGGGACGAGGTGTGGAACATGCTTTCAGAAGTCTTAAAAGAGCAACACTTAGATACGGAAACTACAGAACCCAAACCACCAAAAAAAGAAAATCAGACTTCTGCTGGTGGCATCTGACTCAGATGATGAAAATGAACATGAGGTTGTTCACTCTGCTTTGGATCGTTATCTAGCAGAACGCATCATCAGCATTGACGCATGTCCTCTGGAATGGTGGCCGAAGCATGAAGGGGCATACAGATGTTTAGCATAACTGACACGTAAATACCTTGCAATGCTGACTACAAAAGTGCCATGCGCATGCCTGTTCTCACTTTCAGGTGACATTGTAAACAAGAAGCGGGCAGCATTATCTCCTGCAAATTTTAACCAAACTTGTTTGTCAGAGTGATTGCCAGAGTAGTAGGGCTGAATGGACTTGCAGGCTCTAAAATTTTACATTGTTTCATTTTTGAATGCAGTTTTTTTGTATATAATTCTACATTTGTAAGTACAACTTTCATGATAAAGAGATCGCACTACAGTACTTGTATGAGGTGAATTGAAAAATATTATGTCTTTTGTTTTTTTACAATGTCAATACTTGTAATCAAAAATAAATATAAAGTGAGCACTGTACACTCTGTATTCTGTGTTGTAATTGAAATCAGTATATTCGAAAATGTAGAAAACATCCAAAAATATTTAAATAAATGGTATTGTATTATTAACAGCGCGATTAATCACGATTAATTTTTTAATGGCTATTAATTTTTTTAATCGCTTGACAGCCCTAATTATTATTTTTGATTACAAAAATTTACACTGTAAAAATGGCAAACAAAAGAAACAGTATTTTTCAGTTCACCTCATACAAGTACTGTAGTGCAATCTCTTTATTGTGTCAGTGCAACTTACAAATGTAGATTTTTTTTTTGTTACATAACTGCACTCAAACGCAAAACAATGTAACTTTAGACTAGCCTACAAGTCCCCTCAGTCCTACTTCTTGTTCATCCAATCGCTAAGACAAACAAGTTTGTTTACATTTATGAGAGATAATGCTGCCTGCTTCTTATTTACAATGTCACCTGAAAGTGAGAACAGGTGTTCGCATGGCACTTTTGTAGCCAGCATTGCAAGGTATTTACATTCCAGTTATGCTAAACATTCATATGCCCCTTCATGCTTCGGCCACCATTCCAAATGGTATTCTATTATTGTTTAACAGTGCGATTAATCATTTGATTAATTGCGATCATTTTTTTTAATAGTGCAATTAATCACAATTAATTTTTTAATTGCTTAACAGCCCTAGAAATTATGAATGCAAAGGGATGACATCAGTAATCGGCTGTAACAGTTAGCAGTGCAATCACGGGGTGAGTAATATCCACTGCAATTCTCTGCCGCGGTCTGTTTACAACTATGCAGTGTGCAGACTGGGCATGCCCTCACATGATGCTCAATGTCTAAATGCAGCCCTGGCCACCAAGCATAAACTACACCGAAGTTCCTTCCTTTTCATAACTCCCATGTGTCCTTAATGAGCCACGTCCAGGACTGCTTGTCACCATGCTGCTGGAATAGTCACCCACACTCCTCTGTATAAGATATGTTGAGTAACATACCTTCAGTGTGAGTTCAGAACGAATTTTGTAGAAGAACATAGATAAAGTTTTCTTAAGAACGAGGTTCATCCAACCTGCTTGTACAGCATGTATCACCTTGCACGTGTCAGCATCTTGAAGAGTGGCATTAGTGGTCCACCCTAAATCAGTTGGCACATCTTTCAGTGAAAAGCATATGGGGTATGTGGCTGTTTCTGCATATGAGGGTGCCAACAAAGCAGAATTTCTCAAAAGAGATCAACAATTAAATTAGGTCTTCCTTGGATATATACCAAATCAAAGTTATACTGCTACAGCTGAATAATCCACCACTGGACCCTCACGCTCAGCTGATCAATGGGACACAAATGATCAGTTTCTAAGGTGAAATGTCTTCCCACTAAGTAAAACTTCAAGTGTACAATAGCAAAAAACCTCGCCAAGACCTGTGGTTCAGTCTGGGAATACGTCACTTTTGTTCAGGTGAGAGTACAGGATTTAAATGTAACTGGCAGTCCCTCCTGGAACAGAACTGCACCCAGCTCCCAATTGCATGCTTCACTTTGACTCACCATGGGTTTCTATAGATCAAAATAAGCCTGGGACTGGATCCACCAGAGGGCTTGATGCAGGGTTTCAAAAGCTTGCTTTGCTTTTTTAGTCCAAACCAACTGCCCCTGGCTCTGGGTTAAACCCCACAGCAGTTTAGCAAGGGTACTAAAAGGGGGCAGAGCACAACCACCTATATATTGAGGTAGGCCACGGAACAAACATAAATCAGTATCGGAGCAACAGCTGGTAGCTGTTAGGCCATCAGTTTCACACCATTGATGGACAAAGAATACCCGAGAAACTCCACAGCAACCTTTGCAAAACTGCACTTGGCCCAGTCAACTTTATGCCAGCTTGTTGGAGTTGGGTTAGCATCAGGTCCAGAACAACATTATGCTCAGGAGGAGTCTGAGCAAAGATGAGAATATCATCCAAATAGCAACTTGTACCCTAGTTATTATCCGGGTGCTGAGACCACTTTCTGTAATACCTCAGGAGCAGAGACTAATCCAAAAGGGAGCTGTTGATAGCAATACTCCCAAATGGTTTGCTGACAGGTCAACAACAACTGCAAACTTTCAGGTACTTGCCAATAACCGGATTGGTAGTCCAACACAGAGAAAATCTGGGATCCACTTATTCACCAAGTCACCTCATTGAAGGCAATTGAAACTGCTCATGTTTCACATATTTATGAAGGTCCCTAAAATCTGTGCACAAATGAATATCACCACTCTTCTTCTTGTGACAAAGCTCCTCCTCTACCTTGGTGGGTCTTGCACTTACTGGCGGATTTGCTCGCCTTGGAGCTTCACGGCAGCCCTCAGTTTGGCCGTTTTCGTGAACCCACAGTCCAGGTCGACTCCTCCTGTGTCGGACCAGGAGTTGGGAGGTTTGGGGGGAACCCGGGCCCGCCCTCTACTCCGGGTTCCAGCCCAGGGCCCTGTGGAATGCAGCTGTCTAGAGTGCCTCCTGGAACAGCTGTGCAACAGCTACAACTCCCTGGGCTACTTCCCCATGGCCTCCTCCCAACACCTTCTTTATCCTCACCATAGGACCTTCCTCCTGGTGTCTGATAATGCTTGTACTCCTCAGTCCTCCAACAGTCTGCGTTCTCACTCTCAGCTCCTAGTGCCTCTTGCTCCCAGCTCTTCACACGCACACCACAAATTGAAGTGAGCTCCTTTTTAAAAACCAGGTGCCCTGATTAGCCTGCCTTAATTGATTCTAGCAGCTTCTTGATTGGCTGCAGCTGTTCTAATCAGCCTGTCTTAATTGTCTCCAGAAGGTTCCTGATTGTTCTGGAACCTTCCCTGTTACCTTACCCAGGGAAAAGGGACCTACTTAGCCTGGGGCTAATCTATCTGCCTTCGATTACTCTCCTGTAGCCATCCAGCCCGACCCTGTCACATTGTATATGATCACAATGGGTGAGATCCAATCCTTCCACCTTCCAAAACATACTAAATTCTGTTTGGATCTTCTCCATAAGTGCAGGAAGTATGCAATGTGCAGGTGGTGCACATTTCCATGTTCAAATCCACCTGCAGAGAGTATGCATATCCTATGCTGTCTCTCAATGATCCTTTGCACACTCCCTTCTGTTCTAGCCAACATAATCCCACCTGAAATATCCTGTGCAAGTTCATTATACCAAGATGTAAGGAAAATAATGGAACTGCATACGCAGCTATGCCTTTAACAATGTAAAACTTTGCAGTCAAGGCTATGCCCTTGTAGGGTGCAGAGCATACAGCTTTGCCCACTGTCTGCAAGACATACAAATTCTAAGCATTTATAATTACCGTTGTCAGGCAACTGTCCAGACTGTGAACTAACCCAGAAGGGAGAACATTAAGTTCAGCACCTGTATCCACCATGCACTTCAGCAGTGTGCCATTAATTTCAGGATACCACCTACAGCGTCTTACCACATGTGAAGATCATACTAAAGGAAACATCAATAAAAGTGGTCTCGACCAGCTCCACATTCACAGGCCTCCCATCTTTGTGAATCAGTGTCTGCGGCGCACTAAGTTAAAACATGTCCTTCCTTCTCACAAGCCTGACTGGGCAGGCAGGGAAATTGGCCAAGTGACCCATACTATCACAGCAGAAACAGTGAGGAGCTGGCAACTTTCATTGCTGAGGCCATGGTACGGGAATAGGTAGCATCGTAGGATTCTCGGTGATGGAAGCAGGCGGAGGAGCTGATGGCTTAAGAGGAGACACAAAGGTAGCAGCAGACTGAAACACAGAACAACTTTCACCCCAAGTGCTAGCAAAGGCCTCCCTCTTAGCAACCGTTGCATCAAAAGTTAGCATTCTCACATCTTCAACCAGTAACTGTTCATCCAGTGTGGTTAATCAGAAAAATATCCCTGAGCATGATCATCATAAATCCCCGAATTCACAGTCCCTGACCCATTACTGCAGATGACATGCAAACTCGTGTATAGTTTCGTAGGATTCCTGGAGAGCTTCAAAAAACATTTTCCTCTTTACCAGAACAGGTTTTAGAGTGGTAGCCGTGTTAGTCTGTATCAGCAAAAGCAACAAGGAGTCCTTGTGGCACCTTAGAAACTAACAAATGTATTTGGACATAAGCTTTCGTGGGCTAGAACCCACTTCATCAGATGCATTGAGTGAAAAATACAGTAGCAGGTATAAATACACAGCGCATAAAAAGATGGGAGTTGCCTTACCAAGTGAGAGGTCAGTCTAACGAGACAATTCAATTAACAGTAGGATACCAAGGGAGGAAAAATCACTTTTGTAGTGGTAATGAGAGTGGCCCATTTCAAACAGTTGACAAGAAGGTGTGAGTAACAGTACGGGGAAATTAGTATGAGGAAAATTAGGTTTTGTAATGACCCAACCACTCCCAGTCTTTATTCAGTCCTAATTTGATGGTGTTCAGTTTGCAAACTAATTCCAGTTCTGCAGTTTCACATTAGAGTCTATTTTTTTCTTTTTTGTTGAAGAATTGCCACTTTTAGGTCTGTTATTGAGTGACCAGGGAGACTGAAGTATTCTCCTACTGTTTTTTGAATGTTATAATTCCTAATGTCAGATTTGTGTCCATTTATGCTTTTGCGTAGAGACTGTTCAGTTTGGCCAATGTACATGGCAGAGGGGCATTGCTGGCATATGATGGCATATATCACGTTGGTAGATGTGCAGGTGAAAGAGCCCCTGATGGTATGGCTGATGTGGTTAGGTCCTATGATGGTGTCCCTTGAATAGATATGTGGACAGAGCTGGCACTGGGGTTTGTTGCAGGGTTTGGTTCCTGGGTTGGTGTTTTTGTTGTGTGGTGAGTATTTGCTTCAGAATAGACTATCCAATGCCAAAATACTTGTTGCGGTGCTGCATAGCTGCATCAAAGGAAGACTTGGGCTCCAGGAGCCCACCATAAATATCAATGCCATCACGTGGCACCATGGAGCATCAGAGAGCTGTATAATCTGCAGATAGTTCCAAAAATTCTGAATAAAGTATCACCATCGAAGGCTGTGCCGGCAGCACGAGTTGCAGAACTGAAGCACTCATTGCCATGTTATACTCTGGTGCACCCCAGAATAGCAGTCCAAAAATCACCCCAAGTAAGACATGCCAGTAGACTGTGAGTCAAAACATGTAATAACCATGAACTGTTAAGGTCAGCAACAGTCTGAATAAATCTTGATAACAGTCTGAATTGCAGATATGCAGCAGCAGGCCATGAGTAGCTGCACACACACAATGCTAAGGCTCTGTGTGTGCACACAAACAGGAACAAGAGCATTGAATCCAGGTAGCAGGAACCAGGAAACAAAACAGAACAGGGATCAGGAAGGCAACACGCACACCAGTCATCACAAGAGGCACCGTGCTAACATGTTGGACTCAGGGAGAGGCCAGGATCCAGCTTTTACCTACAGTAACTGACAAATAAATCAGGCCATACAGTTGGGAACTGACCCTAATTACATTCTGCTTCCAAAACAGATGAAAAATGGCACATGTGGGGAAACCCACTCCTGAAAAAGAGGCAGAGAGTAAAAGCACACATTTGGGAAATGTAAAACGTTCCCATACTGATCCCACCTGTTTGTCGGATACTGCTAAGTTCTGATCCACTTTCAGCAGCTCTGCTTCCCTCCACGCCGACTGATACACCTGAAGCAAAGCTCTTCTCCGAATCTTGGGCAAAGCTAAGTTATTGTCCATCTGAGAATAGCAGCAATGGATCTCTTGCCTCATTCTAAGCAATTCCTCTTCAGATAACGACAGGGGCAAACTTAAAAGTCTCCTGTTAAAAAACAAAAACAAACACACGCTGTTCTGTGGTATATGCAAACTGGCACAGGGAAGAAAAAAAACCAAAACCAAACTATCTTCAGAGATCCTAGGAACCTGCAAAGTGTGTTCCCCTTCCCAGGTGGCCAGATTCTCCAGACAGCAGGGTGTTAGAGCTGGTAAAAAAAAAAAAAAAAAAAGATTTTGGAAGAAATTAATTGTTATGAATTTTTTACATAAAATTTTAAAATATTGTCAACATAAATCAAAATGAAAAATGTTCAGGGTGGTTTTTGTGTGTGTGCACTCTCTCTCTCTCATTTTTCCATAGGGAGATATTGGGGGGAACGTGTAAATAAACCTGGAAATGGGGAGGGAAGGGGAAGGACCTTTTGATTTGTTTTGAAAAAAAAAATTAAATGATACAAAACATTTCCCAGGAAGATTCTAATATAGTTCTAAAATCCATTTTTCAATGGGTAACATTGGTGAAAATTTTGCAACCAGTTCTTCTCTGCATCATCATTTGCTACTTTGAGGGCTTGCAACCCAGAGTGCACTGTCAGGGGTGTGCATGGACTTCAGTAAAGGCTTATCTCCTGAACAGGATGTATAAAGAAGTAAAGCCCTTTGTGCCCTCCTTACCCTTACGGGCCCATATAAGGACCAGATATGATGAATGTTTACTGGTAAATTCTCAGTTTAGATCACTATAGAAAACCAGAGTTTCTTAGATACACATTTGTAAACATTCATAGAATCATAGAATATCAGGGATGGAAGGGACCTCTGGAGGTCATCTAGTCCAACCCCCTGCTCAAACCAGGACCAATCCCCAACATCCCTATATCAGCTTTTTAAATAGAAGGAACACTAGAAATTATTAGAATTCTTGGTAACATTTTCAAAATACCATAGAGATAAGTAATAAATGAGAATGCTAATTATTTGTCATATCCCTATAAAAGGAAAATTTGCCAGCTCTCTGTTGGATGTATATGGATCTGTTACAAAAATGGACAGATTCCTCTCAAATTTAGTCTGTTTACTATCTGTTCTAGAGTTCATGTAACCACTGACTATTAATCTGTGATATATAATATTTACCGTAATGGTATGTCATAACCCAGTATTCTGTATTTTGACACATTCTCTTTCTTGTCTCCCTAAATTTCTACAAACAGAACCAGCTCAGAAGCTGGGAGAATTAATTTTTAAAAGGGCAGATTGGTATTGCTTATTTTTCAGTGTGTGTGTATATATACAGAAAATAAGCAAATGTCAATCTGATAAACTATATACTACCTTTTTATGTACCTACCTTTTTCAACAAAGCTATTGGGTGGGAATAATAACCAGGGTCATGGAGACACTGACATTTTAAACTATTTCATGGCTTATCTTTGTGTTATGAACAGTTCAGTGAGGCACAGAGGGCCAGATTCTGATCTCAGTAACTCTGGGTGTGACTATAACCAGGGTCATGGAGTTACTCCAGATTTACACTGGTGGAGATGAGATCAGAATCTGATTCTCCCCAGGGGAACAAAAGGGAATCATCTGAGTCCTGAAACTCCCCACTACTTTTACCCTTTTCATCATTCTATCTTACCAGCAACACCACCTTGGATTGGTTAGGGTATATTAGGTACCTCTCCCCTTTAGAGTAAATCAACATAACTACTAAGTCTTGGGTGAGCGAAAAGAGGTTGGTTGATAGAAAACAAACTGAGGTGCTCCCCATGCGCAAGTAATGTGGACTGCCACCAGATCACTCCAAGCTTCAACCAGCCCAGAAGGGACCTCAAGGCCCAAATTCTGATTTCTGCAGTGGCAATGTGCTGCTCTACCACAAGGCCAGTTTTAATACCTTTCATGCCATTGGGTCAGGAACAGTTCAGAAAAAACACATTTAACTTTAATTTTGCAGCAACTGTGGGTGAAAGGACCAATTTGATATTGGATGCTAAGTTGGAGCTCTCCCTCTTAAATTTAATTCTTGGATATATTTCTGATACCTGAAGGTTACCTGATAACAAGGCACCGTGTTTCCAACATGCAGCTTTGGTCGCTAAAATATTAATCCTGCAAAAGTGGAAAAGTTGATCTCCACCAAACATCAATGCCTGGCTCAATGATATGGCTGATCTTTCAGCTAGTGAATTACTGGCATTCCACAGAAGGGGAATGCCTGAAAAATTCAAAGCAATTTGTGCTGACTTTTTACAGGACTATGATTAACGCAGACCCTGAAGATAGATCGCTTGCTTCACCTGCCCTCCCTTTAGCTTGACCCTCTTTATTTACTTTGTGTATGATGCTGAATCTTGTATTTTGATATATTTGTTATATATGAAAAAATTAATAAAAATTATAAATATATATAAAATTTGCAGCAATAAACTTCCCCCTGCCCCAGTAGTTCTAAAAAGGAGGAAATAGCCTATTTGTTTAAAGATTAAACAATAACTAATTCAAGCAGTTTTTAAAAACAGCACACTGATGCACTAACAAAGAGTTTCAATTTTAAAATTACAATATATTGTCTCCAGTGTTTTAGAAGGATGATTTTACTTTAATCACAGTGCCAACAGGTTGTCATTATTTCCATAAAATATGCCTATGACGCTTTTAGAAATTCTTCTCTGAATCAAATGATTGTAGTCAGTCTCTAAATTAAAATATTCATATTTACACTGTTTTCATCCACCTAAGACACCTATCTGAAGGCATCATTTCCCAATAGGCAGCACTTACTGCTCCACAATATTGCCTTAGATTTATACATAGAAAGGTAGCACTGCCAGAAAAAACAGTGGATTAGAAACTATGGCAGATCTCTTATGCCATGCCTATGTTAGGAAAGGATTTTAAAGTGTTAATATTTTTGGCACAGAACGACTTCATAGTATTTTGAATGATTAACAAAAATAAAAAGCTATCGGTCAAAATAATTCTTGGTAAGAGACTAGAGCTGATGTCTGGTGATCAAAATATCAAAACTAACAGTGTCAGAAAATGTAAAGACAGACATTTTTTAAAGAGCTTTTGATGGAATGTTGTATTATTGTTGTGTAGAAAAATGTACTGGAAAAATAAGTAGCTTTTAAGGATCTGATTTTTACTGTTGCTGTGTGAATAAAGATGGTATTTGACAAGTGTAACAGCAGCACTGCCAACTGGAATACATCGTCATAGAATCATAGAAGTTAGAAATGGAAAAGACCTAGATCATCTAATCCATTTCACTACTGGTGCAGGATTGTTCTCTACAGTATATTTAGAGATAAGAAGACAGTATCTGAAAGATACATTGAAATGGTTTATGGAAAATTATTTTGAATTTTGAAAAAACAAAAGTCACTGAAAAGTTAGAAATGAATGGATTTTCAAACACTGTAGTTAACAGGCAGACTCCTATAGATCTGTTTTCTATAGCTCTATAATGTGCAGTAGGCAAACTTATTGGGACAATGTCAGGTCATCATATTTGGCCCAGTAGGTCTCATGTGTATCTGATTTTCTTTAGAGAAAAGGAAAATTCTTCCTCCCTCACCTGAAGTTGTTTAAGTTGACAGTAATGCTTTACAGTCCATTTTTTTTAATGAATACATGTCCGTACGACAGTGGGCAGATTTATTAGCCAGGGCAGTCCAAATAAAGCCCAAACCCTCAAGTTCAGTTCCATGTCCCCTTTCTCAAGGTGGGTTTATTAATAAAAAAGACAGTTACCTTTTCCGTAACTGGTGTTCTTCAAGATGTGTTACTCATGTCTATTCCACAACAGGTGTGCGTGCCACGTGCACCAGTGCCAGAAGTTTTTCCCTGCTCCCCCCATCCTCGGTTCCTTCTTGCCAGACAACTCCGACGGAGGGGAAGGAGGGTGGGATGTGGAATAGACATGAGCAACACATCTCGAAGAACACCAGTTACGGAAAAGGTAACTGTCTTTTCTTCGAGAGAGAGATTGCTCATGTGTTTTCCACAATAGGTGATTCCAAGCTATATCTGTTGGAGGTGGGTAGGAGTTCACAAGTTCCCAGGATGGAGGACAGCCCTGCCAAACCTGGCATCATCCCTGGTTTGGGGGACGATTTGGGGGATAGTGCGAGGTGAACGTTTGAACCGAAGACCACTTGGAGGCCCTACAAATGTCCTGAATGGGGACGTGGGACATGAAGGCAGCCGACGAGGCTTGCGTTCTAGTCGAGTGTGCCCTCACAATGGGTAGCCGGATGGACACCCACCAGCTCATAACAGGAATGGATGCACGAAGTGATCTGATTGGAAAGCCGCTGAGTGGAAATCGGCTGGCCCCTCGCGCTCAGCCAAGGCGACAAACAGTTGCGAGAACTTTCCAAACGGCTTGGTCCGCTCGAGGTAGAAAGCCAGAGCCCGCCACACATCAAGAGTGTGGAGACGGCGCTCCTCACTGCACGCGTGAGGCTTCAGCCATAGGACCGGTAGAAAAATGTCCTGACCCATGTGATAGGCGAAGACCACCTTTGGGAGGAACGTGGGGTGTGGGCAGAGCTGGACCTTGTCTTTATGAAAGACCATGTACGGCAGTTCGGAGGTCAGGGCCCTGAGCTCCGAGACTCGGCTGGCTGATGTTATTGCAACCAGGAAGGCCACCTTCCATGAGAGGTGAGACCAGGAGCACGTGGCCCGTGATTCAAATGGGGGCCCTGTGAGACGAGCCAACACCAGGTTTAGGTCCCACTGTGGAACCGGGGGGTCTAAAATATGGAAAAAGACGGTCCAAACCCTTAAGGAACTGGCCAATCATAGCATAGGAAAATACCGTGTGCCCTTGCACTGCCAGATGGAAGACCGATATGGCTGCCAGGTGCACCTTGACTGATGAGGGTGCCAGGCCCTGGGCCCTCAGGTGGAGGAGGTAATCAAGGATAAGCTGGGACCACTTCGACAAAAAACTGGGACCACTTCAACAAATAAGCATGGCGAGTGGAGGGCTGTCTACTTTTGAGGAGGACACAGCGAACCTGCTCT